CCCCCGCCCTGTGTCCGCGGGTCAGCCCAGTAGGCCCCGTCCAACCGCACCCGCCTCTGTCCCCCAACGAGCAGACCCTCCTGGGGACCAGGAGGCGAGAAGTGTCCCCCCTGGGGGTCGCCCTCCCCGTCATTTGGAAACAGACTCTGTCCTCTGTCCGCTCTGCCCCCGCCCCTGTGCACAGGCAGGTGCCCTGAGCGCCACATTCAATAGGAAGCCATTCCGGGGGCCGAGCAAGATGCCCGTGATCAGGGGAAGCAGGGGACCCGACGTCCCAACACCATTCCTCACGGGGACATTTCCCCAGTGTTTTGTGGAAGTGTCCCCCCCCAGGGGTCGCCCCCCCATTTGGAAACAGACTGTCCTCTGTCCGCTCTGCTCCTGCCCCTGTGCACAGGCAGGTGCCCTGAGCGCCACATTAAAAGGAAGCCATTCCGGGGGCCGAGCAAGATGCCCGTGATCAGGGGAAGCAGGGGACCCGACGTCCCAACACCATTCCTCACAGGGACATTTCCCCAGTGTTTTGTGTTTTGTTTTGTTAGAGAGAGAAGCGGGGGCGGGGAGAGACAAAGAGAAACTCGCGGATTGGCTGCCTCCTGTGCCCACCCGACCTGGGCCTGGGAACCTGCAACCAAGGTCCATGCCCTGGACCCACGACCCTCCAGTCCCGCGCTGATGCTCTGCCCGCCCAGGGCACAGGCCGGGCTGAAGCGGCCATTTCTCTGTGAGTCTATGCTGAGCAGCTGGGGGGGGTTGGAAGGTGTGTGAACCCCAAAGGCAAACGGAAGTGAATGAAATGCCAGCCCCGGGGCCTATCGGTGGGTTGGCGGCGTGTGCAGAGGCGACACTGATATTTGTCACTTTCTCTGCAGCTGCGACCTGGTGATTCTGAGAAGGAGCCAGAAGAGCCCAGATGAAAAGCCCTGCTTCCTCTCCCTGAGCTGTGACCCCAGTGGAGGTGAAGGAATCGTTTCTGTTGGCATTTTAAGTTCAGCAAGAAATATGGAAGTGTACTTAGGAGAGGAGTACTGTGGCACCAGTAGGGGCAGGAGTGTTGGTAATGTGCTGGATACCAGGTTTGTGACTCCCCGTGTGCAGCTTCTTCTCAGGGAGGGTTTCTGTGTCCCAGCTCTGGGACCTCCTGCTTCTCTGACACTGACCTCAGACACTAGGGGGAGGAGCGAGAAACACCAGCAGCCGTGGGCGTTCAGGCCTCGGGGGAGGATCCCAGGACAGTCGGGGTCACCCTGGTGTGTTCCCAGCTGGAAACTGACAGCTGGTGGACGGGAGCTGAGCTGGCCAGGGCCCCAGCCGGTGCCTGGGAGAGGCTTCTCTGTGTAACTCACAGGGTCCGTTTTCCAAACGGTAATCTGTCCTTCAGCCTGGACTTTGAACATATCTCCTTGAAGGAAGCCCTTTCCAAACTGGGCAGCCCAGCACTGCCAACCAGCATACTTAACCCGCGGCTATGCTTTCTGATTTTTTTCTGATTTTTTGCAAAGAACATGTCCTAACCTCTCTTTTATGTCACTCAAAATAGGAACTGTTTTATGTACCATTGTGTGAACCCCAAAGGCAAACGGAAGTGAATGAAATGCCAGCCCCGGGGCCTATCGGTGGGTTGGCGGCGTGTGCAGAGGCGACACTGATATTTGTCACTTTCTCTGCAGCTGCGACCTGGTGATTCTGAGAAGGAGCCAGAAGAGCCCAGATGAAAAGCCCTGCTTCCTCTCCCTGAGCTGTGACCCCAGTGGAGGTGAAGGAATCGTTTCTGTTGGCATTTTAAGTTCAGCAAGAAATATGGAAGTGTACTTAGGAGAGGAGTACTGTGGCACCAGTAGGGGCAGGAGTGTTGGTAATGTGCTGGATACCAGGTTTGTGACTCCCCGTGTGCAGCTTCTTCTCAGGGAGGGTTTCTGTGTCCCAGCTCTGGGACCTCCTGCTTCTCTGACACTGACCTCAGACACTAGGGGGAGGAGCGAGAAACACCAGCAGCCGTGGGCGTTCAGGCCTCGGGGGAGGATCCCAGGACAGTCGGGGTCACCCTGGTGTGTTCCCAGCTGGAAACTGACAGCTGGTGGACGGGAGCTGAGCTGGCCAGGGCCCCAGCCGGTGCCTGGGAGAGGCTTCTCTGTGTAACTCACAGGGTCCGTTTTCCAAACGGTAATCTGTCCTTCAGCCTGGACTTTGAACATATCTCCTTGAAGGAAGCCCTTTCCAAACTGGGCAGCCCAGCACTGCCAACCAGCATACTTAACCCGCGGCTATGCTTTCTGATTTTTTTCTGATTTTTTGCAAAGAACATGTCCTAACCTCTCTTTTATGTCACTCAAAATAGGAACTGTTTTATGTACCATGCAGGTTGGAAGTAGTAGATGTGTTTATTCAGCTTTAAAATATGCTTGTGCTACAAGATGACACATTTGTTATCAAATTCGATTCTTTCACAAGCTGCTAAGTGGCAGGTGTAGTCTGTCCTCCCTGCATTTTCCTAGGAAGCCACCACCCCTCCCACCTCACCGGGAAAACAACTTCAGGACAAGCATTGGCCTGGAAACCCTTATTTTCAAATGTGACCATTAAAGGCGATAATGTGCCGGGCCGGTGTGGCTAGTGGTTGAGCATCGGTCCACCCATAAGCTGGGAGGTCACAGCACATGCCTGAGTTGCAGGCTCCATCCCCAGTAGAGGGCAATGGGGAGGCAGTCGATCAGTGATTCTCTCTCATCATTGATGTTTCTATCTCTACTCCCTTCCTCTCTCTGAAATAAATTTTAAACATTTAAAATAACATCAATTTTAAAAAGTGATAATGTGTGAAAATAAAGAGTCAATTTTTATTTTTTATTTTTAGTGAACATGAAAAGATTATTTTGTACAAAAAATGTCTAAAATTGGAGTCCGCTGCACATGCTTGTAAAATAAAGGTAAGTCATTACTAAATTGGAACTAAGTTGAAAATCGCAGTTGTTTTTGTACTGTGCACATTTATTTTATGTTGGGTTAGTAGTTCTCAATGCTCTCCCTTTCAAATTGGACCATTTGTTAGCTATGGCAACGCCATGTCATGTTCATAGCAACTGGTCGATTGGTCGTTCTGGTCGTTACGCAGTTACGGTCGCTGGCCTTTTATTATATAGGATGGAGTGATTTAAACTTTCCTTTGCACTTTTATTATTGATGTGACCAATCTTTCCTTACTGATGTAAAATAGCGCTGTATAGATCTAGTCTCTGGAAAAAGTATTTTGTTGCAGAGTTCACAGCTCTCCAGGAGCTCCCTCCGTCCCTCCCTCCCTCACTCACTCGTTTCACTCGTGTTGATGAGCAGCTGCTCATGGCCTAAGGCCCTGCTTGGCTCCTGTAGCCGCTCCAGGCCAGTTCCCTGCAGCCTGTCTTCAAGGGTCTCCCGAGTCCTGAGGCCCTGGGGCCGTGCGAGGGCGGGAGCCGAGGAAGAGGAAAGGCTCGAGGAAGGGCAGCGCTTCTCCAGGCCCCTTCTCAGGAGGAAGGCGGGTCAGGCAGGTGAATGGGGGGTCAAGTTCAGATGGAAAGAGTGTGACTTAAATCTCCAGGGCCAGAGGAGCAGGACGTGGCTAGGACGGCAGAGTGCATTTCTCGGCCGTGTGTCCAGGTTTGGGGTGTTTGTTTTTTGGTTTAATTCCAAATATAACGTGGCTCCTTTGCCGTGGATTCAGGCCTTTCAGAAGGACAGTGAGTGAATAAGTGCTCCCCTGCGGCACCCTCTTCCCCACCTGCTGTGACTCCTCCTGGCGGGTTCTCTGCATGTGAACCGCTTACAAGTCCTCCCACCCAGCACGTGTGTTGTAACCTGCTTTCCCCACGCCGGGCTAACTCATTACATATGGGGACATGTGGGGAGCCCCCGGGGAAAGAAAGAAGATGACCCCAGTACTTCTTCTTTTAAACAAGCCAATGAAAGACGTCCTCCTGGGGGGCGGCTGTATTAATGGAGCGATTCCTGCAGGACAGGCCTGGTTCTCTGGGAGTGCTCAGTATTAGCACAGCAGCTACGGAATGTCTCCTGGAAAATGCCCTGTGAGCCGGGTCACCCCTCACTGCATGTAAACTAGGATGTTCCATGAGCAGGACTCCTGCTCTGTGGTGGTGTGAGCAGGCTGTTCAGGACCTTCTGGGGTGAACATGGGCGGGGCCAGTCCTAAGGGCCCTGGGCTATGAGGTCCTAGCTGCTCCCTGCTTTGCTGGTGCCTGCGGTTACTTGTTTTTGTAAGTTTACTAATTTATCTCTTGCGTTTGAAGTTCAGAACTGCAGGCTTTGTGCTTGCGTTAGCGATGTGGAATGATGGGGTGGGAATCTGTATCGAAGTGCCTGCGTATAGTTGTCATTTCATGTCACTGACTGAGGGACGGGCCCCGTTTGCTGGGAGAAAATATATGCAGTTGAGTTGAGGACCCAAAACATAATCTATTAGCCTACAAACGACTGAGACAGACAGAGCTCAAAGGGAGCTCGTGTTCGTCATGGAACGTGTCTAGTCGTTGCAGGCGTCACAGATTTCCCACCGCACAAGCGGGAAGTGTGTCACCAGCGGGTGTCTCCATGCCTGTGGGTCCTGGGACATCCTCAGGTTGGCGACCACGTGGGCCGTGACAGGTGATACTTAATTCTGTGGACACTACCCCTTCCTGTGACTCTGGGGAGCCCACATTTACTTCCATGAGTCAGGAAGGAACTGTTAACTATGCCAGTGCTGTTGTACTAAGTGTGCTGGTATTTGTTGTAGCATTTTCTTAGGAAAAACCACAGTCAAGTGATGACAAGCCCAGACTGGAATGGGGCCACCGGGTCGCGTCCTGGTTCCCACTCACCAGCTGTGCGGCCTTGGCCAGGTGACCTTGAACCTGGTCCCCTCAGCTGCTGGTGGCAGTCATGGTGGCTGCCTGCATAGGGCTGTGTCAGGGACCCAATGGAGAATGCCCGGGGCCTGATTCTAAATACCGCAAACTTTCTCAGGTCATTCCGCGTGGCCGGGACACGTCCCCACGCCCAGCGAAGGCGGCCTTGGTGGCGGGTAAGTCTTTGCCTGCGGACTCAGAGCGGGTGAGGGGCTGCATGGGAAGCAGCAGGCTGTGTGTTGCTGCTGGTTGTCTGGTGGCTTTTGTTGCCGTTTGGAGGTCAGGGTCATGTTTGGTCTTTAATTCCCTTTAGGATGGGAGAGCCGCCCGCCTGCTCCTACTTGGAAAAGATTCTGTCCAAGAACCTGGAGCTGATGGAGAGGAGGCTGACGGACTACCTGGACGAGCGGCTGCGCGCCCTGCAGGAGCACGTGGATGGCAAGGTGGCGCTGCTGGCCCACCTGCTGCAGACACACCTGCTGCAGAGCCCCGGCTCCCCGCCCCCGCCCCCGGGGATGCCGCTCACGCGCTATGACTCTGGGGACAGACTCTCCAACGGAGAGAGATAGGCGCTCCCGTGCGCCGTGCATGCAGATATTTATTACCTATTTATTACAACGCGACCCAAAGCTCCGAGCCAGTGTCGATGTCATTGGAGGATCAGCATCCTACTCGCATCAAGTGACCTCAGCGTTCATCCCTGTGCTTGTGGCGTGACCCCCGTGACGTGACCCCCGGGCTGCATGAGAGTGGGTGACCTTCCCTGTGCTTGTGGCGTGACCCCCGTGACGTGACCCCCGGGCTGCATGAGAGTGGGTGACCTTCCCTGTGCTTGTGGCGTGACCCCCGTGACGTGACCCCCGGGCTGCATGAGAGTGGGTGACCTTCCCTGTGCTTGTGGCGTGACCCCCGTGACGTGACCCCCGGGCTGCATGAGAGTGGGTGACCTTCCCTGTGCTTGTGGCGTGACCCCCGTGACGTGACCCCCGGGCTGCATGAGAGTGGGTGACCTTCCCTGTGCTTGTGGCGTGACCCCCGTGACGTGACCCCCGGGCTGCATGAGAGTGGGTGACCTTCCCTGTGCTTGTGGCGTGACCCCCGTGACGTGACCCCCGGGCTGCATGAGAGTGGGTGACCTTCCCTGTGCTTGTGGCGTGACCCCCGTGACGTGACCCCCGGGCTGCATGAGAGTGGGTGACCTTCCCTGTGCTTGTGGCGTGACCCCCGTGACGTGACCCCCGGGCTGCATGAGAGTGGGTGACCTTCCCTGTGCTTGTGGCGTGACCCCCGTGACGTGACCCCCGGGCTGCATGAGCGTGGGTGACCTTCCTTGTGCTTGTGGCGTGACCCCCGTGACGTGACCCCCGTGACGTGACCCCCGGGCTGCATGAGCGTGGGTGACCTTCCTTGTGCTTGTGGCGTGACCCCCGTGACGTGACCCCCGGGCTGCATGAGAGTGGATGACCTTCCCTGTGCTTGTGACGTGACCCCGTGCCCGAGTGTGAGTGTGATCGGGTCAGGAGTTATTTTTGTTTGCAGAGTTCATACTTCTGTGTTTAAATCTTTAAAATATTTAAGGATTTCTGCTATAGTTCTTTGGTGTGTATTGTGTATGTATTTGAAGTATGCACTGTTTTAATTTATGTAAAGACCTTATATTTTAGGGATATGGGGAGAATGGTTAGAGTATTTTGGTTTTTGTTTTCCTAATTGATTGTTCTTGGAAAACCAGGCACTTAAGACTTGCAGCCTTTAATTTCAGATCACGGGTTATATTTTATATTGTTCTTCTCAGTAAGAAATTAGTTGTGTTTGGCATTTGTAAAATTAGTGTCCATTGGGGCCATTCGTTTTATGTTCTTTCTTATTGTGGCTGTGGAAGGAAAGTAAAATCAAAACTGGCCTCTTTGTCAGAATTATTTTAGATTTAGTGGTTGATGCAAAACGAGAGACTGTCGTGCTGTCCCTCCCGCCCCGGAAAGCGGGGACCCTCCTTGCCGAGCCGATGCCGGGTCCTCCCAGAGCCTGTGCTGGGTGTGAGCGACGGGGCTCGCACTGGGCGAGGCGTGTGGCGGGCAGATGGCCGTTCTCTGTGGTGGCCTCGTGTCAGGAAGCGTAACCATTGCATGTGCTGAAGGTGATGTATTTGCATCTAAAAATAATTGGTCCACTCTGGAAACTCAGTAAAATGGGCAGTAAAGGGGATAATGTTTTGGACACGATGTCCCAGCACCAGCCTGGCCTATAGGTGCCCAGTTTTCTCTCCCTCTTTCTGCTCTTCTGTTCTGTCTCCTTAAACAGGAAGAATGGCACGTGTCCCTATATCATTACTGTCCCAGTAAATATGAAAGTCGCTCTCCCCTCGCCTCTGCTGTCTTGGTGCTGAAGGGCCGTCACATTCAGTCAGCACCATCGTGTGCACGGAACGCTGAGGGCTCACTCTGAGGAGTGGCATCCTTGGGTGGTTTCATCCTTGTGTGAACAGGATAGTGCACCTCCACACGCCTGGACGGTACCGCCTGCTGCATGCCTGGGCTCCATGGTCCAGCCTGTGGCCCCCAGCTACACACCTGCGCAGCGTGTTCCTGTGGAAAACAACACGAGACGAAACCAAGCGCGAGAGAATGATGCAATCAAGAGATTCAGTAAACAACATGCATGAGGCTGCTGCCCGCGTGACGTGGCTGCTGTTTTGTCTCCAACTCTCTTTAAAGTAGAAAGAGCACATCCTAAAGTAATGACTGCAAGTGTAATACAGGCCCAGCCGGCGTGCTCAGTGCTTGGGCGTGGACCCAGGAACCAAAAAGTCACGGTTCGATTCCCGGTCAGGGCACAGGCCCGGGTTGCAGGCTTGATCCCCTGTGTGGGACTTGCAGGAGGCAGCAGATCCATGATTCTCATCATTGATGTTTCTATGTCTCCCCCTTTCTCTCTGAAATCAATAAAAATATATTAAATAAATAAGTATAGAAAACCAAGATGGCGGCATAGGGCATAGGTAAACACCGGAAATTGCTGCCTCGCACAACCACTTCAAAAATACAACTAAAAGACAAACGGACATCATCCAGAACCACAGGAAGGCTGGCTGAGTGGAAATTCTACAACTAGAAGGAAAGAGAAAAGCACACTGAGACTCAGAGGAGGTGCGGAAGTAAAGTGCAGAGGTACGGAGGCGCGGGCGCAGAAAGGGCTGGCAACGGAGGACGCATGTGTCTTTTTCAATCTGGAGGGAGTCTCAAGCTCTGAGGGCTCTGAACTCCACTTCCGGGCGAGTCTCTGGGGACCCAGACTCATACGGGGAGAAACTGGTCTGTCTCGCAGCGGGCGGAACTCGAGGGCGGCTTTCTCTCAGAGGTGCTTTCAGTGACTACCGCGGGACACTGAGACATGGGGCCTCTTAGGGTAGGACTGAGGAGCAGCCATAGCTGTTTGATCTACCCTGTTGATTCCCTGACACCCCACCCCACCCAAGCTGCAGAGGCTTTTGCATATGAAAGTCCTGGCCCTTTGCAATCTGAAAATTACCTAACAAACTGCAGCTGAATCAGAGAGATCCAGAACTTCCAAAAGAAGGTCCAAGGCCCCACAGCAGCTTGCATTGCTTCACAGCTGGGCCTCATCTGGGCACCTCCAAACCCCAAACAAAGAAGAGGAATCTCTCCATAGCTCCTGCTGGGTAGCCTCAGGCAGAGG